TTGTGGGGCTCCTGTATTCAGAGAGCACAGCAGGAGGTCAGTTTGAAGGTTTATGAGCTACTTTTTGTTTTTAAATTCTGCCGAAACTGGGAAAAAAAAAAAAAAAAAAAAAACCTTGATCTACATCTCACTAATCCAGATGCCAGATTAAACTGACATAGAGCAGATTATAACAGGGCAACACACTGATTTTTAAATAAGGCAACCATTGTCCATTTTGCGAATGTTATTACTTTTATTAATTATCAGCATCATCATCATCATCATCATCATCATCAACACTATTCTTCAAGTTTAGCTGTGTAACAAACTTTTCTTGGCTGTCAAAATATGTTGAAATACCTTTTTTTTTGCGAGAGACAAAACCTAAAAACAACAACGTACAGAAAAAAAGGAGCAGAATAAAATACAACATGAGAGAACGTAACCTAAAAACAACAAAATTAATCAAATGTATTTACTACAAAACCAAATCATCTGAACAGAGAAAAATCCTACAAGAATATACTGATTAAACATAGAAACTTTAATGTGTTTGTGTTTTTTTTTTCAGCCAGTATTAAAACTGACCCTACATCCCAAAATGCACACTCAGTTTGTACCGTTGCAGAAAGTGTGTGTTTGTGTGTGTGTGTTGTCCCTTCCTTGGCAATAAGAACATAATACATGGAGTGCAAGCAATTCTTTAGAGCACAATCTGACAAAAGGGAAAATAATAAAAACAAACACTTAAAGGCCTACCGATGTAAACGCTGATTTGAAATGCCGTCAAACTGAAAACAGTCACTGTTAAAGTAACACAAGGCCATGCTACATGTGTCCCATTCAACCTGATTTACCATATATTTGCATAAATGTTACCAGAACCTAAAAGAAAAAAAAATAGTCAACTTCAACGTTTTCCTATGAACACGGTGGTCTATTTTTTGCTTTAGTGCAGCTTTAAGAAAACCTTGACAAATCAGGCAAAAATAAGTAAAACATCTAAATTAATACAGGATGGGGGCGCTAAAAATATGAAAAGTGCATTTATTTTCGAAACAAGGGAGATTTTTCTTCACCTTAATGGAACTCAGCATAAACATAACTCCTGTTTGTCCCGGACGTCACCCAGAAATCTTCTGGGGTCCATCAAGATGAGTCAAACAAAAAATTTCACAAATAAAGAGCTAATTTAGTTTTTGCTTTTTTTAATTTTTTTATTTTTTTTTTTTTATCACAGTACCTCGAAAACTGTCTCCACGAAACCCAGCGAGAATATGAAAATACGTCTTTAAAAGATAAGAACTCATAATGTGTTCCTGCTCATTGTTAGTCCTCCTGGAAAAATGATTGAATGCAAATGTGAGAAACGTTTTAACACTTTTTTTTTTTTAGCGATTAACTGTCAAACAAACCAGAGATGCGTTCAAGTAAACCAAACAAGAGCTGCTGCTGACAGAACCGTACGGAGAAGCTTACAGAAAAATCCAAGAAAGATTAATAAACAAATAAAAAATAAAAAGAAACAGAACAGAGTGTGACATCAGCATCTATGATGTAGTCTTCAAACCTCCCGTTATTCAAACTAAGGCAGCATCCATCCCTTTGTTCTGTCTTCAAATAAAAGCAGTGCATCGTTCTTCTTTTTTTTTTTCAGTTTGCTACAATTATAATTGTAAACATTTTGTTCCTTAATGAGGTACGAAACCGTTTTTACACTAAAATCAACAAATAGTTTGAAAGTAAGCACTAATGTTGCACAAATGATGAAAAAAGTTTCCTAAATGGAGGCTTAATTTTTAGAAAATAAAATGTCAGTAAGGACTAGCTCTTTAAGGTCAAAACTGAACTGAAAATATAGATTTTGGTTAACTTCCCAGGAATTCAAGCTGATTTATTATTTACGCTTTATATTAACTAAAACATTTGATTAGAGTTTAATCTAATTTTAAAATTTTAAGATGCTTCCATGTAAAAAGTGGAATRTTTTACCTGGAAGCACTGAGTTCGACCTTTTTCAACCTTTTTTATTTTTACATTTTGCACACAAAAGAGACACACTCATTTTTTTCTATACTCGACCATACGATTAAAGTATTTCTTTTTTAAAACCTTTTAAAATTTGACAAAATAAAGACGTGGCAATGAACTCCAAAAAATAAAAAATAAAAAAGA